AATGGGAAGAATAATATTTACAAATTGTTGTATGAAGTAAATAAGACAAAGTATGTGTAACACATACCATGAGGCTTTAGCACATAGCACGCACCAGCTGTTAGTTCCTTTTCTAAAAGACAAGGAATATAGAGATAGACAGATAGATTAGAGAGAGAGAGAGAGAGAGAGAGAGACAAGCAGACAGACAGATGGGTTTGGGAGGCTTTTTTGTTTGCTTTTCAGACAGGATCTTAACTGTGCAGTGGCACAATCACTGCTCACTGCAGCCTTCCTGGACTCATGGGATTCTCTTACCTCAGTCTCCTGACTAGCTGGGACTACATGCATATGCCACTAAGCTCGGCTAATTTTTTGAATATTTTATAGAGACAAGTCTCACTATGTTGCCCACGCTGGTCTCAAATTCCTGAGCTCAAGAAATATACCGGCTTCGGCCTCCCACAGTGCTGGGATTACAGGCGTCAGCCACCGTGCTTGGCCAATAGATGTTTAAATAAATAAACAAACAAACAAACAAATAAATAAATAAATAAATAAATAAATGTGTATAAATATATTTATACAAAAAAATACATATTTTTGTGTGTGTGTGCCGATATAGTTGCAGAAGATTCTGCAGACAACTCTTCTATAACTTGCAGTCATTCAAAAGATACACTGAGCAAGAATTTGGAGGTCAGCAGCATCACTCTCTTTAGCATTTCCAGGCCATGGTTGCCGTACTATCTGCTAGCATAAATCCTTAGCATTCAGCTACAGTTCTTCCTTCCTCTATATTTTCAACAGTTACTATCAGTAGTTTTCATGAGCTACTCAAAGCTATTTTGCAAAGAATTTAAATATTATTATCATTTATAATAAACTAGGTCAGTTCACAAAAGCAACCAACCACAAGAACACTTTAAACAAACAGACTCACTGACTGAGATTAAAAGGAGCTTTAGAGTGGATCCATGCAACACCTTTATTTGCCACGAGAGATGAAGTAACCTCATCAAATTGGCAGAGTAATCAACTAGCAAAATTCCCAGATGGTTGTAGTAGCTCTTGAACACATACCATGCCGATTAGCTCATGTTGCATGTTGCATGAACAATACATGGCAGAGAAAAGCTAAAAGTCAGTGGGAACACTACCCCAATTTAATGTCATTAACAATGCAGAAACCTACGGTAACAAATACTAATTGCAAAATATGGAATGAAATGCCTACATTAAATCTTACCATCCTAATTCCACCATTGTGTGACATTGGGCAAGTTACTTAACTAAAGACTATTTCTTCACGTTTGAAATAAGGTGGCAATACCTGCCTCAAGGTCTTGTTATGAACAATATCTCTTCGCAGTATTCTTGCCAAAAATCCATAACCTCAGTCTAATCACAAAGAAAAATCAGACAAACCTAAACTGAGAGACATTCTACAAAATAACTGACCAGTTCTCTTCAAAAGTGCCAAGGTCATGAAAGAGAAAATGTATAGATTAGAAAACACATGAAAGCAAAATGCAATGTAGGATCCTGGATTTGATCTTGGACTAAGTAAAGGGACAGTGAAAATCTAGTGAAATTTGAACTAAGTCTGTAGCTAAATTACTATTTTTGTACCAACATTAATTTCTTGATTTTGATAACTGTATTATGATTATTCAAGACAAAGCTTGGTGAAGCGTACACAGAAATTCTCTGTACTAATTTTGCAACTCTGTAAATCTAAAATTATTTTTAAATTAAAAAAATTTAAGTCTTGTGAGAATTAAATACAGGGTCCAAATTTTAAACCATGCTTTTTTTTAAGGCATAATTCTTCATCTAATGGCTATACTTGGCAATTGTTAACAGCAAGAACATTATGTGAATACTGGCCAAACCCAGGCTAGGAACTGCTAATAATGAAGCATGTTCAACTGCAATAAAATGTGGACACTTTATCATACTTCAACTGAATAACAAATATTTTTGCAAAAATCTAACCATCAGTATTTCACTCTTTGCACAACACAATCATGACTTAGTTCTTAAAGAAGTATGGATTCTGTGTTTGGCCAATGATGACAGGCTTAAATTTACCTAATACCATCAACATTTAAACAGAACATGTCAAGTCTTAATTCCTCTGACTCTATGACTACGCTCATCTTGTCAGATTTCAACAGTTTTCTGTCAGGCAACACCTGGCAAAATAAACCGTTTTCATATAAATTGTAGACATCCCATAATGAGTATGGAGTGATGTGCTGTTATTCCTGTTTCTCCCTAATTTTTATTTTCAACTTCAGTTTACATCTGGCCTTGAGAGATAAAAGCCCGCATCTGAGATAAGCAAAAATGCCCTATGTCAAGCTTTTTACCCAAGATTTTGTTTTAAAAAAGAAAAACACTAAAAACCATTAAAACAACCTAGGAATCACAATACTTTATTAGTTAGAGTTTCTAACATAGCACTGCTATGGCTCATTCACTTTTGCTTCACACCTCAGGGAGTAAGTGCACAGCCAAGGCAAATAAAAACTAACGTGGCTATTTCTTGGTTTTTGATAGAACCATTCATATGATAAATATACATTTTTTCCCATTATACTAGTCTTGCAAAATAATCTTTGTTTTCTACAAAGGTTATGAGATATCATAAAAATGTCTAATGCATCTGGTTTAAGAATCCAATGCCTCTTTCACATATTTCTGCATCTGTTCACGAAATCCCCTTGACTTCAAAGGAAGCTTTTCAAGAGAAAAAGAAGATACATACAGGAAAAGTGGCCATAAATTTTTAGTAGTCCTTTTCTAAGGCCATTTTAATAATGGCACTGTGGGACAAGTATCTTCCCCAGAAACCTAAAATATCACAAATGGTATTAATGACTAAAGATTTGTATAAAGATTTATGATTTCAAAACTTTTTTCTGGTTATAAAAAAGTGTGTCTTCAATTTAGACATGTGAAAAATATGGAATGCTGTAAAAGGAAACAAATAACTTTTAATTCACTATTTAGGAAGGCCAAAGCAAAAATTAAAAAGTTAAAAAAGTTTGTTCCCTTCCAGTCTTTTTTTCTACATATATGTTTATATAAACACTTATATATAAACATAACACTGTAATAACACTATGAACACAATTTTGTGTCTTAGTCTTTTGAAAGACCACATTAATTTTTCAAACCATCATTTTCAATGACTGAAATTATATGTAGATTTACACTTTAAAAAAATACTCGCACATTTAATTCTTATTCTACTCAAAGCTAAATTAAAGGTTTAGAAACATTCATCTGTACTGGAAATTCTACATCTTGAAACAATCTAGATTAATAATTAACTTTAATAGCCCTATTCATAAATGCCACTGCAACAATAGTAGAGGTTTAAGAAATTTTTTCTTTAGCATTTATAATGACTTAGTATCTTAAACTTCCCTGGGCAGTCTTTAGCAGGCTGTAGTTTTTTACTTTTTTTCTTTTTTCTCTTTGATTCTCTATTCTCAAGACATCTTCAATTCTTTAGTTTGGAATAAGAGGAAGTTTGGGTCTAAGGCTTAGCTACTTTGATAACACAGGTGTTAATGTGCTATTAATTATAAATAATCAGCTAATTCTGCTTCTGCAGAATAAAACCCTCAAATTTCAAGAAGAGGAATTCTTGATAAATTTATCTAATTTTTGATAAATTTATCTAATTGTCTTGCCTAACATTGCTGCTGAAATTTAAAGTAACATTTGAATAGTTGTTTGTTGACAAGGAGCTTCCTGGTAATATATTAATACATTAGCTTATAAGAATTTTGTGAGGCTCACATCAATAAAAAAACGGAAGTTCAAAAAATTTATGACATGATTAGAAAAATAAGTTGAACTTAAATCTTGGTTTCCATAATTACTCTCATTGGCTTTGTTTTGGCTTTATAATCATGGAACTATAGATTTCCCAAGGCTTGAAGGAACATTAACATGTCAATCAGTCCAACTCTTCCTCCACTCAATATGAGAAAAAAAAGAAAAAAAAAGTCCCAAAGAGATTGACTCCTCACACAGCTATCAAGCGGCAGACCAAACCCTTGACCTCTGGGCTACCTTCCAGTCTAGCTCTCAACACATCAGTTACAATCCTCACACCTACGCATTATAGCAATGAATATGCAAACGACGCCAGGAAATTACATTATCACATTATCTCCTTTCCCTCTAGTTCCCAGAAGCTATCTCCCGTAGACATCGTATGTCAAAGTGCTTGCCACTGAGACTGCACTTGGAAGACGTTTGGTAAAAGCCTGAATAACAGAAAGAGTATCCCTTCCCCCTGACTTTTTTGCTTTGAGGGTAAAATTCCAAATATTTAAGACAAATCCCAATAAGACCAGGCCGTGACATGGTCTCCATACGACGAGATTAATGGTAACGGCAGTGCTGTCAAGCACAGGACAGGACGAACTCTGGGGCAGCTTGCGGTCACTCTTTCACCTGCTAGATACAGCAGTGCTGTGGAGTCACGAGAAGCAACCAGAATGGAAGAAGCACTGACAGTTGCTCAAGTACCACAATGCCAATCTGCTGCCCGGACCTAAGCCGCCCAATGCCTAACAAGACTTCTCTAACCTCTCCGATAGCCCCTTAGCTTGTTGTTAGGGTGAGGAGGGTAAAAACAGTAATAGGACCACGATAAGAAGAGCAGTCTCTAAAACAACCGGTCTCTGAAAACATCACAGCTAGGGTAGCCTCACCGCGTTGCCCGGCAACAGCGGCGGCGCTCGGCTCCCAGAACTGGAGGCGACCTCAAGACGTCAGGAAGCGGCGCGCTTTTTCCACCAAGGGACCTTTACGTCATCACGTATCCTTGCAACGTCACTACGCTCTGAGTAGGCCGGCAGTCATAGGCGAGTAGACCTTAGGCTAGAGAAGGCACGTACTTTCCCTAAGAAGCGGGAGGAGAGAAATAGAGGGCAGTGGGATGAGAAGAACCTCGCGCGTGGGAAGCCGCGGAGGGAAGGGCCGTCTTTGGTTACCTGGGGAGCGGGAGCAGCTGCGGATCCTTTATGAAGTGCCCGGATGAACCTCCAGCACCCACGCGCTTTCCGCATTGAGTGCAGCGCCATCTCGAGAAGGGCGGAGCCGTCTTTTCACAATGACGTCTGTTCAGAGAGCCAATCCTCGTCTCGCGACTCCTGCTTGCTGGGCGCGGCCCGGGCCTCCAGGCTCCGCGGCGCAGCCGCTATCAGGCGGAGTGCAGTTTTTACCGAGCAGGTGGGGACAGGAACGAGGTGGGGCTTTAGTGATTTTCCCTGGATTCCGTGTCTGCCCAGCCTTACTGGAAGGAGAATCTCTTTGGGGATTATTAGTAGCAGCCCTTTAGACTGGGAAGAAAGTCAAGTAGGCTGCCTTTCTCGGCTTTGTGAAGGCAACCTTAAAGTTTGTTTAGGAACTCCCAGTTCTTTTAGAGGGCAATGTAAGTGGTGTTTTTAGACGTATGTGGCCTCATTACCCTTTTTTTTCTTTGAGACAAGGTCTCACTCTCGCCCAGGCTGAAGTGCAGTGGCGCGATCTCGGCTCACTGTAACCTCCGCCTCCCAGGCTCAAGCTGTTCGGCCTCAGCCTCCTGAGTAGCTGGGACCACAAGGGTGCGCCACCACGCCCGGCTAAGTTTTGTATTTTTGGTAGAGACAGGGTTTCACCATGTTGCCCAGGCCCTCTCAAACTCCTGAGCTCAAGCCAAGCCATCTGCCTCGGCCTCCCAAAGTGCTAGGATTACAGGCATGCACCACCGCACTGGGCTTATGTGGCCTTATTTCATTCGTCCTGTGAACTTTGTTGAACCCTACCGTAATGTGCTAGGCACTGAAAGTACAGAGAAAGTCATATCTTGCCTTCAAGATGTGTACAGTTTAATAGAGTATCGGATAAATAAATGATGTATACACTTAATAGGTGTTAAAGAAGCAAACACCAAGTTTTGAGGAGGAGTGGTTAGGACTGGGGTGTTTCAACCTGATCTAGGAAAGACTGCAGGAAGGTTATACCTGATGGAAGAAATTGTTTTGTTTGGGGTTATGATAAAATTTAATATAGTTCTCCTGCTTCTGTTAATTCACCTAAAAATCGCCCAGACAGATTTACGAGTGTTTCAGTAAAAATATAACTGGAAGAAATTAATGAGGATTCCTTTATGTGTTTTGTTATAATTCATCCAGCTACTGAAAATTACCAAGGAGAGGTAGAGATAAAGAGATGCCTATAAAGGAGCTGAAATCTACCAGGGTAAGACAAAACAGTAAATTAAAACCATATAGTATAATCTTGTAGGTATACAAAGTACTGGTGAAGTTCAAGTATAATTGGTGTAATTTAGAAGTGAGCGAAAAGGGATAAAGGCAAAAAAAAAAAAAAAAAAAAACTAGGAAACCAAGTTACAGCCTTCAACAAAACTCATCAGTTTGGTTTTGGCTGTTAAATTTGAGGTGCTTGTAGTACTTCCAAAATGTGGTACCCATGGAATAGATACATGGGTCTGAAGCTCAGAAGCGATATGAACTACAGAACAGATGGTAATTGAAACCAAGGAAATCCTTGAGACCACCAGATAGAGTTTGTGGAATGAAAGCAGCCAGATGATGGAAATAAAGGAGCCGAGAGGTGTTGTAGAACCCAAAGAATGTGATATTACTGAGACCTTGGAAACAAACCTTGCCGGGGAAAGGGGATGTATGTTATCCCTTGTAAAATGCAGTTTAATAAATGCCCTACATGTTTTACTCATACATGGAGCAAAGCATTATAGTACAGTTTTTTACATATATTTTATTAATTAGATTATATGACCCTAGCAATTAGCAAGGTTAGATTTCTGACATCCTTAGCCATCTAGATAGCAAGATAAAACCTAGCAATGAGACTGTGGTGCACCAAAAGCTGTCAAAGGGTATACCTACTTTATTTCTTCAAGAAGTAGTTCTTAGTCTTACGTGCAGACTCCCATGACCAATAATATTTTCGTGGGACGTATTTCCAAGACATAGTCCACTAAAAAAGGTGGGACTTTCAGACCACAAGTTTGATAACTTAAGTATCCTGATTTTTAAAATCAAAAATATTTGCAATTTTTAGACTTTGTTAGAAGTAATAAATTGTGTTTTGCACCGTGGTGGTCACCTGGTAATTCTCAGGTGTCACTCAGCCAGCCTTGCTTCTTGGACAAGGACTATAGTTTATATTTCTAACATCTCCCCCAGCACCTAGAATAGTCTCTTGTGCCGAGTAGGCACCTCTTTTAAAAGTAAATTGGATTTTAACAAATTACACAGCTTATTGTCAGCGATTGATATGCTTTTAACTGCCGGAAGGAAGTTCACAGAAAAGACACAGGATGTATTAAAAATGAACCAGTTCTGTCTACTTTTGTACTTTTTCACAGTAAGCATTTTGATGTTGGGGAAAGTATGACTACAAAGCTCACCATCTTCTAAGAGGAGGAATATATTCAGCTCAGTATATTTAACTTATTTTAATAAGTTTTTAATGTAACCGTGACTCCTCTGGGAAAGATATTATTCAATGTATGTTTAAAGAAAAAACCTGTAATACACTTTTGAAATATTTTCATACAAAATGGTTAACATTTAAAAGTGTATATATATATCATGGGCTGGGCATGGTGGCTCACACCTGTAATCCCAGCACTTTGGGAGGCCGGGGTGGGCAGATCGCTTGAGGTCAGGAGTTCCAGACCAGCCTGGCCAACATGGTGAAACCCCATCTCTACGAAAAATACAAAAATTATCCGGGCATGGTGGTGTGTGCCTGTAGTCCCAGCTACTCAGGAGGCTGAGACACGAGAGTTGCTTGAACCAGGGAGGTGGAGGTTTCAGGGAGCCCAGACCGAGCCACTGCATTCCACACTGGGCGACACAGCTAGACTGTCTCAGAAAAAAAAAAAAAAGAAAGAAAGAAAAGTGTGTATTATGCAGTTGGTTATATGGAAAATTCTCCTATGGAATACTTCTTTCTCCAACAGTGTTGTTTAAATGAAGCACCATTGTATTTAATGACAGTATTTTACCACTGCTATCATTTGAGTAAGCTAAAGAACTTTGGTAAAGTGAGATATAAATGTTGTATTGAGAGCAGACTTTAAACATACCTAAGATTAAAAACTTCTATAGTCCTATTCTTATAGCATGAACTATGTGTCTACATATGTTCATGCTTACAATTTTGAACACTTGTTTAAATTTTGATTTCTCATCAACACTTTTACTTTATAGTAAGTTCTGGTAATTTTGTTCTCTCCTTAACATTCCGTGCAAATCCTCTCTTGCTAGAAACAACAGATTAAAACCAGACTGGCAGTTGGGAAATGGTTTCTATTGCAACCATGTGTGTCAGAAGAAAGGATTAGGTTTCCTTGTCCAAGAACATCAAGGGGAACCTCCACCTCTGCAGACACACCTCTATTCCTTAGTAATGGAGAGTTTATACCTAGTTAGATTTAAATGGGATAAGGGAAGAGTTTAAATCCATTCTTAGCTCAAGCAGTATAATCAGCCCTCAAGTCTCAAAGTATCCAATTTTGTTTCTCTAATTTAATTCTAAGTGTCAGGTTGGTATTAGATGCTGATCAAGGTGATGGAGATTTGCCCTACACATTTATTCACTTAAAGAAGAATTTTGCAGACTGCAAAGACTAGATGGCAGTTGTCTTCAAAACTTACTTAAAGCACAGTTCATTCACCCCTGACCTTTCATTTATATTGAATATGTTTTTTCAAATATAGAAGAGATTCCATAATAAAAGCGAACAAATCTCTCTCTTCATAATTATGGGGTACAGTTCTCTGTACATGTTCTCTGACCATGCCATCTTATGCTGGACCTATTATAAGGACCCACATTAAAGTGAGGCAGATCCTGCTTTTGAGTGAGATAACTTCCAAGAGTCATTAAAGTATGTGGGAAGCTGTAATAATGATTATTCTTTTTTTTACCTTTGGCTTAACTTTAGTTCCTCCTCTTATTTTATAACTGATGAAACTGATCCACAGATATTAAGTACCTTGACCAAAATCACACAAGTAAAAGCAAGAATGAGAAGAACCTTCAGTCGGGTGCAGTGGCTCATGCCTGTAATCCCAGCACTTTGGGAGGGCGAGGTGTGCGGATCACCTGAGGTCAGGAGTTTGAGACCAGCCTGGCCAACATGGTGAAACCCCGTCTACTGAAAATACAAAAATTAGCCAGGCATGGTGGCAGGTGCCTGTAATCGCTACTCAGGAGGCTGAGGCGGGAGAATCACTCCAAACCAGAAGGCAGCAGTTGCAGTGAGCCAAGATTGTGCCGCTGCACTCCAGCCTGGGCAACAAGGGCAAAACTCCATCTCAAAAAAAAAAGAAGAACCTTCATCTCCAGATGAGTGTTCTACTTTGACACCATGGTAAAGCTGAAGAGGCTAAAGCTAGGGCCAGTCCAAATGGGGGAAGGTTCCACATAAAGCCACATCCTTGTGTTAGGCTTCAAAGTCAGAACAAGCAAGTATCCTATTTTTAAAGGCTGATACTCTCATCTCCATCCCTAATGTAAAAAGATGTTGTCTTTCCCTAGTAGTTTTTGGGAGAGAGCAAATTATAGCGTCTTATTGTAAGGACAATAATCAGAAGCTCATCTTATCTTTGGGAAGGCTTAAAGGGTTTTTTAGGGAGCCATCATTATCACTTTATTTCTGGAAGAAAGAGCAAAATGCAAGAAGAGACTAAGTGATGTGAATAGCAAAATGGGATTTTTCTCAGAGTACTTTTTTCTTAAAATTAAGGGACAAGGCCACACTCTGTATTGCCAGGTTCAACTTCTTGCCTTAAAGACAGTTTTCCACCCCACAACAGTGAAGATATTTTGATGAGAGTTAAGGTGGGGAAGGTGGGTAGAGAGTCAGAACAGATACAAGTGAATAACATGCATGAAAACTGACTCCGTTACGTGTAGAGTTGTTAGTGTGCAGAACCAGGAGGAATACTGATTACATAGCAATGTTACAGGCCCCAGGATTCCTGTTTATATTTAATATTTTCTCTCCATACTCTTACAAATGGTCGTTTCAACATTAGAGAACAGGTCTTTTAAAAAAGGCAGAGAATTTCT